GAGTGGTTTCTTCTTACCATATTTTGGAATGTACTTACCACCATTAAATATTTGACAACTCATCATTTTTTAAAATATTTTAAAAATATTTTTTACTTTTGCATTTCTCTCCCCTTCCCTTAATTGTGAGATATTTAATGGTAGTAAGTACAAGATTCTTCTTTTCTAGTGAGGAACCAAATATTTTAAGTTTGGAATAATGGTTTTTGTGTGCATAAGTAGTCATAACATTGTCAACCGTTTTGAATATGGTTAGAGGAAATTATTTAGGGTAGGTTAATTTGATACAACCCTAAATGATCACAAATTAATTTGTAGTTGATTAAAATTATAGAAATTATACCACATATTATAAATTTAATATATACGTTTTAAAAAAATCACTAACTTTTATTTATTTATTTTTCTGAAAGGTTTTTCTTACAAATATAGCATCGGTTTGGTTTTTTTTAATGCATTTTACCTGTTATTTGAATTGTACAATTATTTTAAAATTTTAAATTTCATGTTATATTTAAAAATACATATTTACTATATGCAGTGTATGTAATTTTCTTTCATGTAGTGTTTGAAATTAGAAAGTCTACGTTTTATTATAGAAAATCCTTATTTAAAAATGTTTTGAAAAGAGACACTATACTAAAGGTCGATTAATATTTTTTTTAATTAATATTTCTTCTAAAAGAACAGTACGGCGCGGCCCATTTCAAAACACCACTCTCAAAATTATCTCAAATAATTTAATATTAACAAATTAGAAACAATCAAATAATATTGGTAATATATATACTCTTCCCTTCAAAGAAGACATCAGAAATTCAAATCTTCAATATCCAATATCTTGTTGTACTAAAAAAAAATTAAAAATTATTTATTATTGTTGTACTAAAATAAATTAAAAATTATTGTTCGTAATTTATAGGTGGAATGAGTTCAAATCCTATAATTAAATTTTCTTATGTGTTTCTCATAAAATAATGAGGGTTTATAAACTACAAATTTAAATGCAACAAAAAATTGTATACTAGTTATCAACCAGTGATAAATATAGCGATCAACATAAGATTCATTTGGATTTTCTATCCCTCTAGCTATTTCTTCGATTTTTAACTCAAAACAAAAAATAAAAAAGGGCAGAATTTTGTTTATTTAATTTAATGGGCGTGTAGCGGTGTATCTGTTAGGTTAATAAGTATGCAATAAAAAGAAGGATGATGTAATTAATGACATATATATAAAATGTGGTCCTGAAACGAAATGAACAAATCCATATTCAGTAATCAGTAACTGCAGCAGCCCCCAGCTAGCAGTAGCACAAAAATAAACACTCCCTCCCATAGTCATATATATATAT